CCTTCGTTACCAAAAAATGTGTAGGCAATTAATGCTACGTAGGAAGTGGTGGTGACCCATCTAAAACTTGTTGATTCATCCTCCTGTGAGAGTGGGCTCAAAACATTCATATAATATAGTTTTTAAGTTAAGCAACATGGTCTGGGTTAAAATTTACCGTAAAGGTGAATTGAGTGTCAATTATGCGACTAAGGTGGAAGAAAAAAAGGAACTTTTCTAAAATTACAGAGCAACATGTACCGTTTGATCAGCAGTCTGACAATGGAGAAGAAGTTCAAGTTTGTTTTAAATGGTCCAAAGGGAGGTGTCAAAGTTTGAAGGGAGTTGAAGATTGCTTCAGTGCTTCTCCCTTCATGAGTGGAAGGAGGGCGGTGACTCACCTCAAAGGCAAAGTCTATTGTCTCAGTGGCCAGGAAGCGCCATCGCCACCGGTACCACTTGGAGCACAGAGTGAAAGTCGAGCCTGATTATTCGAGCACTCAAACGTTTACTGGTGAAAGTTAACTCTTTCTTTCAATCGCTTTTGCTTTTCAGTAGCATTGGAAGTGCCTTGATGGTGTACTTGCATTACCTAAATTGCATGCCACCCACAAATCGCAATTCCAGAATGCCTTCTCGGTTCATTTTTGTGCGTGTAATTTAGGCCAAACGTCAAGGAGGTTAGTTAGCACCGAGTCAAAGTAGAGGAATATTGTATTACTCTCTAAATTGCATTATGTAAAGCAAAAATCTCATTAGTTTTTTTGACGATGCGTTGAGGCGACTCCTGTCCACGGTGAAATTCCGGTTCTGATAGAAACCGTAGATGCCTGCCGTCCCTTGGCCAGCGGTCCTTTCATCCGCCTTGGACAGTAAGGCGGAAAATTTGGGAGAATGTGACAAAACAAGGAGTAAACAGAATGCAGGGAGATCTAAAATAAAACAGGACTTAATCTGCCATTCCCTAATGCTATTTGCTCTCCTGCAAATTCAAGAAAGTTAAAGCAAATGTCGCATTACCACCTCCTTATAGATATCGGCCCTGCATACTATGGGGCTGATTGAGCCTCTGACAGTTTTGAGAGTTTAAAGCCACAATGATAATTTCATTGCTGCAAGGTAAAGCTTGGTAACGAACACTTGAATTTACAGTCAAAGTGGTCATGAGACTGTGCCTAGCAATCGGACTTGATCATCACCAACCGTTTCTCTACGTCACTGATCCACAACACACACGGGCACCCCTCGGAGGCAGTGCTCGACTTGCCTGTCGGCTGCTTTGGAAAGATGCTTTCGGCAACACCTGGAAAGGCCGCACTCCACCAGTCCAAGTGCAGTGGATAATCAACGGATTCGGTTACGAGATGGACACTTTGGAGGCCAGTTTTCGGAGCAGGCTGACCGTAGTTGGCAACCGCTCCAATGGTGAGTGGAACGCAAACAACACCAAAAGGCTATTCAGTGTCTTAAAACTAAAAACACCCGTTTCTATCACTGTGGGTGGATTTTTAATCACCGCTTACTGTGAACCGCCAGCTGAAATTGAAGGACACAATCTCAGTGATGGTAAGTAGAATGAGGAGGCAGTGCGGCATTAAGAATGACAAGACCACTCTCGTTTTGACCTCCTTTGTGTGAGGCATGTTGTCATAACCTCTCTTCGAGTGTATTTTATTTTTGACTCACGCATAGCATCGTAGTGTGGACAGACGATCAGACCCAGCAAGAACAACTTGAAATGCGATTAGCTGAATGTGTGGGAGTGTCACCTTCTGGAGGAGAGTTGGACACTGAATAAGTGAGCGAGAGAGTTTGTTTTTCTTGTTGCCTCCTTTTATTAGGGCAGTTGTGCTTAGGGCAAATAGTGCTTTTGAAAATGAATGAGCAGCACAGTTATTTGTTAATAAGAGGTCTCTGAGTTTGACGCGTAATTAAGGCTTTAGACTTTCCCCAAATCCAGGTGCTATTTATTTTGCTTGATTTATGGTAGGATGATCTTTACAAGACGCATGTGGCTGATTTTCCATATTTTTGGCCCTCGTATTGACTGCAAATGGAGGAAGTGTTGTAATCAAAAGTCAAGAAGGCACAGGATTTCACCACCCTCCATCTGGTAAACACATTAACTCGCTATGAATGAATTTTGAACGCGTTTGATTGATGCCATATCTGGTGTCCCTTGGTACATCCTTTTCAAAAAACGAAGTTGCAGACTTACGCGTTCGTAAAAAATAAATTTAGGCGTCTATGACATGCGTATTAACAAAGTTCAACTGGAAGATGAAGGAGGTTTCGCCTGCCAAGCTCGAATTATGGAGAGCGGACTGCCAATGTCAGCGGAGGCAATCAAATCTAACGGAGACAGGAGGCGCATCGCAACCGGCCACAGTGTGATGATGATCGTACGCAGCAGAGAAGCCCAACTGACCGTATTCTGTAAGTAGACGTGTTGACCACTCATTCATATTAGTCAGTCACTTCAAAATCTTTCGTTGCGAAGGGAAAATGCATTTGAGTTACACGCTTAGTTGGAAATGAGGCTTGAAAGAAGTGTAATCGCTGCGAGAGACAAAAAAACTGCATATCTTATGATTGGATTCTCTCCTGCCTGACCGAAAGTGCCGCCCACGCTCCTGAATGTAGTTGTCAGCTAACCGAAAGAAGCACTTTCTACTAATCAAGAGTAATGACTGAGTGCGACGAAATGACCAAGAACTTGCTGAATCAGCATCACCTTCAATCCGATTTCCAAACACCTTACTGCTACCGCTGTCCACCTGAGAGGGTGTTTTAATCTGACGCTGTAGAGAATTGGTAGAAAGTTGAGTTAAGACCCTGACATCACCATTACTGGTTACACACTTTGATTGCAGCCATGGTTGAAAGGAGGAAATCCCGTGGCAGAGACAATCATCACAATAAGGACACATCTTGAAGGTTTATTTGGTTGACTGGTGAATTATCTTGGAGGCCTAGCAAGATGCGAGGCGGATTTTCCTGGAGGCTTTGCTGATATCTTCCAGAGTAAACACTCCTTCGCGATAGCATTTGACAAACACTTTTACAGCTTGTTTGTGCCCAGTCAACTTCTGACGAGGACTTGTAGACAACAAGTCTAGCTCTCACTGACAAAAAATAACCGTTCTTGAATTTCCACTTTAAATCCTTTCGTGAGGATAAAGCAACAGAATCAATAGAATTTTCGAGCTGCAGCCTGGAAGAAAAGTAGAATCAGTTGCCTTCTTTACAGTGTGTTGGTTTTGTGCTTTGATGGAAAGAGAGCTGAAAGCTTCGCAGATTAGTCAAAGAGTTTCCGCGTCTCCAGTGAGAAGGTGCACGCGAGAAAATTGTCGAGCA